CTTTCAGTGGAGGCACCCCTTAGCTTTTGGCAAACAGGTTTGTGATGTGGGTCAACATTGAGACGGTGTGTGGCCACTTCTGGGTCAATGCCTTTAAGGTCTGCATGTGACCATGCAAGGACGTCCATGTTACGTCTCAAAAAGTCGATTAGCTGGCGAACCAGATCTTCAGAAAGGGAAGAGCCAATGTATACTCTTCTATCTAGATGTTCCTCATCTAAGACCACAGGGTTGAGCTCCTCGACTGGTTCTCCTCTTTCTATGGTGGTGTCATCCCTTGGGTAAAGGACCTCAACTTGTAACGCCTCCTATGGTTTCCTGGTCTTCATAGATGAGACATAGCACTCCCTTGCTGCTACCTGATCTCCTCTGACCTCTCTGACTCCATTGATGGTTGGAAAATAGATGATGAGGTGATAGGTGGAGGGCACAGCTCTTAATGTGTTGAGAGCAGGTAGCCCCAGTATGATGTTGTAGGCTGATGGGTAGTCTATGACTAAGAAATTGACCATGATTGTGGAGCTCCTGGGTGCTGCTCCGGCTGTGACTGGTAGGGTGATGGACCCTAGGGGATACACCTTCTCCCCTGAGAATTCAATGAGGGGTGATCTGATAAGTTGTAGCCTATCTCTGCCCAAGTTGTGCTTGTCATAAGCTTCTGTGCATAGGATATCAGCATAACTGTCGTTATCCACTAGGATCCTGCGCACCTAGAAATTGGCAACGGCCATTGTGAGCACGAGAGGGTCGTCATGGAGGTGCTGGATTCTTTCCAAGTCCTTATCTAAGAAAGATATGACCTCACTGGTGCAATGTATGGGCATCTTGGATGGGCGCAATTCATCGAGGTGCCTCGCTTTTCTGGCGTGGGTCTTCATGGTAGAGAAGATTCTCCACCTCTTGTCAATCCTCCCGAAATAGTGTGAATCTCCCCAATGGGCTATTGATCTTCCTGGTTATGAGGTGGTGGTGGCACTTGCCCTTTACCAACAACATACTGGCATAGGTGGCCACGTTGAATGAGATCCTTAATCTGTCTTTTGAGGTCATAGCAGTCGTCAGTGTCATGGCCATGATCGCGGTGAAAGCGACAGTACTTATTTGAGTTCCTTCGATTTAGAGGAGACTTCATATTCCCAGGCCACTTTACAGCAAGGTTGTCTTGGATATGGAATAAGATGTGCCCAACAGCAGCATTAAGAGGAGTAAAGGCTTGTCGATCCCTTTGAGGAGTAAGACCCAGCCGGTCTTTGACGGGAACCCTCTCTGTTCTACTGCGCTTGTTAGTAGTCTCCTTCTTGTCACCCCTCTCCCTTTTCTTCCTCTTTTCCCCTGCTCCAGAGGACTCACCTCGCTTGGCCCTTGTGATGTCTTCAGCATTTATGTATTTTTGGGCCTTTGTTAGTAGCTCTAGCATGCTCTTTGGTGGGCGTTTCATCACTGAAAAGAGGAAGTTTGACGAGTAGAGGCCTCCCAAGAAGGAGGTCATAGTCACTTTTCATCGGGCTCATCAACTTGGAGGACCTTCTAGTGGCGTCGCCCTCCAATAAAATGTGACACGAACAACCTGTTTAGCGCAGCAAATGAGGCAATGGAGGCTGGAGAGAGCTTGGCGAACCATTGTCGAGCGGATCCCTTCAAGGTGGTCGGGAATGTCCTACACATGATTTCGTCTAGGACATTGTGCAGTTGCATCAGAGTTTTGTAAGTGTCGAGGTGCTCTAATGGATCTTTCATTCTATCAAAGGTCTCTACGGATGCCATTTTGAATTTTTGAGGGAGGGAGTAGTTCGACATGTCAGGTTTGAAAGGTGTGTCTGTTCGCCTTACCAAGTAGTCTACTATCTTGGGTCCCTGCACCTTCATGGCGTTGAAGACGTCACTTTGTTGATTTTCACTTCTTTAAATTTCTTGTTCCAGTGATTATGGGCTCCTCTAGAATGATCATGGAAATAACTCTCATGGTCTATGTTTTGGTTATTGCCCTCATCCTCTTGGAGATGAGGGTTTTCACCATGGGAAATAGGAGGAGGATGAGGTGAAGGTCCCTCATGATGGGCTCCCCTCTGTGGCGCGCCCAAAGGGACTCCAAAGGGGGCACCTAGACCTGCATGGGCACCCAAATGCAAAGCAACAAGGTGTGGAGCTCTTTGATGTCCAGGACGTGGAACTCCTTTAGGTCCTCCAAGCTATGCTCCCCCAAGTTGTGTTCCTCCTTGTCTAGCAAACATGAGTTGCAAGATATGCTGGTTTTGGGTCACCAACTGCTGCATGATCTCTAACATTTGCTGAGGATTTGGGACTGGAGCATTTGGGACAGGGTTGGTAAGTGGAGGAACAACCTCATCATCTCGTGGTGGATTGTCCTCAGGTTAATTCATTGATCTAGTAGTGATCACCATTGGTGCAACAAATGTAATGTTTAGAAGTGAGAATTTTGTCTTTTTCCATAGACGACACCAAACTGATGACACACAAAAATGGGTTTGCACACCACCTGTCAAGTGAGTGAAAATAAATGCAGTAATTAAGTGTAAAGAGAGTTGGAAGAGACAAGATTTATATTGTTTTGGTCAACGTGACCTACGTTCACTTTTGAATGGCCTTGGTCGCCTAGTACTTTATTAGCTCAAGGGTGTAGGGAGCAGAGACTACAAGCTTTGGAGAGGGGGAGGAGAGTCGTGCTCAAGTAAAAGTATGATGCCCCCCAAGTGTTGCTGGGACTTATAATTTATAGGCACCCCATAACAGATTGGGGTGATATAATAGCAACTAAATAACAATTCTAGCAGAGCTCACGACTTCTCCTTAATGGGCGAGGTAGTTGAGGTGCTCTCCACAAAACTCGGTCCGAGGTAAGGTGAGGGCTGACTATTCCAAGACGGTGAGGGTGTGGCTCCCAGATGCTCTCTTGATGACATAGCCAGGCCTCCTTGGGTTTACTGGGTCTTTATAAGACTTGGGTCCTTAGTTAAGATTGAACTTCTCACATGGATTGGACCATTTGGGCTCGGCCCATCACTTATCTCCCTTATGCCTTCTATTTTTAAAAAAAAACAATGTATTAGCATGGTATGTAACGGGATTCCTCACGCAAAGCACACAGAAGTAGATAAAAGCTAATGTTTAATTGGGTTTGACTATCGTAACGGAAGAAAAAAAATTCAATGTCATACTACTTATAGTATTTTTTTAGGGTGGGAATAGAATATTCATTCCCACTCCATTAAAGTCTCAACTATAAATTTATTAGCATCATTCCTTCTATTTACACCCTATTATAAACTAACTCCACCTCATTCTTCACCTATCCCATTAATAATTAAACCTATTACAAGTAAAACACATCTTACGGAATGATTAAGTGAAAGGTTATCTAATTTTTTTAGCAATCAAGATTTTTTAAATATTTTATTATAAATATAGTTATTCATAACGTAAATAATATATAAGAAGTCTTTTGCATCCTTATATGTAAGATAAAATTTTCACATGGGGTGGAGTTAGTTTATAATGGGGTATATATAAAAAGGTGTATTCAATAGCTTTATAGTTGGGACTTTAATGGGGGTAGAAATTGATATTTTTAGGGTGGGAATAACCCCACCTATTTTTTTTACATAATTTTTGTGTGGATCTTACTAACGTTTAGGACATATACAATTTTGGGGTTCACTTACCACTTTTGGGGTGAACCATATCAATTTTTTGGGTGAAATTTGTAATTTTTTGGATTTTAATTTAAATTTGTACCGTAGTATTTACCTATTTAATTTCATATGTGATTTGCGCATAGAGAGCCTTAGACCAACACCACATTGCTCTAATGAGCAAACTGGCTCGTGGGGGTGTTTATCCTACCCGATATTTTGAAGTAGAATTTTTTCATGGTTAACTCTACCTGATCAAGTATACTATTCATACCCGAAATTTGTTCAATAACACTAAAGAAAAACACAATAAATTTAATAACAGATAAATAATTACAATAAAACAAGGAAGTCATAAATATCAATACAACATAAATAAGAAAGTCTTAAACATCAATAAAACCTTAGGACTTATATGTTTATTTATTACTTTCTTCTAGTTACTATTGTAATTCGTCATTTAATTCTATTTCAGTATTGCAACAGTGACCATTGCTACCAATTTTGTAGATATTTCGCATTCTTATCCGATTTTTGTGAAATACTAAAAAATCGTTTGTTGGCCTACCTCATTCTTTTAAGTAGCAGATCAATAGAGTTAGAGAAAGTAGAATAGGGTCAGAATTTACAGATAACCATAAATTTGAAACCGTTATTGGCTTGAAAATTGACGTTGACATTTCTTCATTAGTTTTCCATCATGTGAAATTAAATGACTTAGAAATCAAAAAAAATAATTAATTATTTTTCTCCTCTTAGACCTTAAATAAATTAATATACAGCGTCAAATCCACATATTTTAACTAATCTCTAGACCAATGCAAACGGATGCCGTGCTAATACAGTCTTTTATTTGGAAAAGAAAAGCATTACATTAGCATAATGGACCAAGTCCTTGCTGTTGAGCAGCAGTATTAGCAAGACGATTCAACCAAATTAACTGCCAGGACCGGATCCAGAAGTTTCAAAATGAAAAAGTCAAATGCAAAATACTAAGTTATAATTATACTATTCTAGGGTGCCCAATAAAAATTACAAAAAATTCAGAAGACAAAAAAATAATTAATCTGTGGGAACTATGAGGACCATGACACCATAATTACACCCAATTTATGCACATCTAGCCGGCTACAGTGGATTAAAATTCTCTTTTATTCAATTTTATTCAATAGTAAATAGTATATCACACATTCAAGTCACATTCATATTCGATGGATCATTTTTTTTTGAGCGAAAGTAGATGATTTTTACATTCATGTACAGTGGATCATTTACTATTGAGGGAAAGAGTATTGAAAAAGAATTCGATTCCAATTTAGTTAACTTTCGTGTGCTGGGTTTTTTCTGTAGCAATTTGACATGGTCCTTAGATGGTCTGCTCAGCCTTTTGACGGAGCTCATGTATGAGTCTTGTGATTGCTTCAATACCCTATGAAGATCTTTGTCCTTCGGCATTGAAAAGGTCAAGTTTCTCGATTTTTTCAAAAAAATAATAAATAAATAGAAGCTACCATGCATTGACTAAACTAGTTGGCCAATTCAAAATAGGACAGTTCCAACTTCCAAGGCCCCATATATCTCCTGGGTGTCTGGCGGCTACACCCAAAATAAGCGAAACCAAGCACTCTCCACTCCAGCATAGCATTACTGCTCTCCACTCTCCTTTGAAGAGTGAACAGTCAGTACTACAGTTCTGCACAAACATGGGTAAGAAACTGAATGCTCTGCTCGGAAGACACTCCAAGAACTCAAAGCTCAAAAACCTGGCTAATCTTGCCATCTCAAGGGTTGACAATATGAAGAAACAGCACCATGTTCGGCGTACCCAAGCTCGTTCAGATGTTATACAACTACTTGATCTCGATCACCATGACCATGCTCTCCTTCGTGTACGTTCTTGCCTATGTGTGTGTCTCTCTCTCTCTCTGTCACACACACGCACACATATATTCACACAAAAAAAGTATAAATTTGACACTTTTTCACAGGTTGAACATGTGATCAAAGAGCAGAACATGTTTGATGCGTTTGTCATGATAGAGAAGTACTGTTATCTTCTGATGGAGGGAGTTGTGCAACTTGAGAACAGGTTAGTGTGCATGTCTATAGTTCTTGTTCATAGTTTAAAAGTTCCATAATCATTGGAACAATTTCTATTTTTTTTTTTTTAATAGTTTATGGTTTGTGAAAATGTAAATCTGTATGCAGGAAAAGTCCTGATCATGAGTTCAAGGAGGTAATACCCACCTTAATCTTTGCGGCTTCACGGTGTGGAGGATTCCCAGAGCTACAACAGATTCGTGAAATTTTCACGTCACGATTTGGGAAAGAATTTGCAGCTTGTGCTGTTGAATTAAAAAACAACTGTGGAGTAAATCCTAAGGTAAGAGTTTGATTTTCATGGATGATGCTAGCCTAACTACTATTTCTCACAAAAAATTCTCACAGCAACTTTGTCTACAGATGATACAGAAGCTTTCCACACGACAAGAAAGCCTGGAAAGCAGACTGAAAATGCTGAAGCAAATTGCTTGGAACCGTGGGATCACCCTCCATCTTGAGGATGACACTCCCGTGATTACAAAGGTAGGCAAAACAACAACAGCAACAACAAAAAAATGACAGCAGCAGCAACAAATGATGATGATGATGAGTTGAACCACCACCACCATCAACAGTATCATTATTTGATGTTGTTGTGGTGGTGACACTGCTGATATTGGTAATTAAAACATATCCAAAGTAATGAATTTGGAATGACATCACCATTTGATGATTGCAGGAGAAAGATATCTATCAGAAACATCAGCAGCTTGAATCAATGGAAGATGCTACCTTAAATCCTCCTGAAGTTGGAATAATTGCCCAAGAAATTTCTGAAGAAATCACAGAGGATGAAAAAATTTCTGACCTGATGAAAGCCCTAAAGGAATACAGAGATGTGGCTGCTCCAGCACAAGACACTTTTGCATGGGATGAAGATTCAGATGATCATTCCAGTTTTGATCATCAAGAATTCGACTCTTATTTTTCATCAAAATCTGAACTGCATTCCAATAAGGATGCTTGCTCAGAGGATTTCAACGACTTCAAGAAGGGATCAGGCTTCGACAAGATCTATCCTGTCGGAAGTTTCAGCTCAGACTCCGAAGGCAAAGAAATGTCAGAAAACAAGAATAGAAGACTCCATAGGGAGTTGAAACAGAGCAACCTCAAAGCTGGACCGGACATGACTTTAGATGCTTCAGATCTGGATTCAGATGAAGACACTTCGAGTGCGAAGGAAATGCATTCTCATCCACAAAGCCATTATGAGCCGTCAAGGGAGGAAATAGTTTCTGATGAAAGTGATGATGAGACCGATCAAAACCAGGACAACAAACCATGGTTGAAGCAAGATGACATGAATTCCCATAACAAACCTGGTTTGCCCATAATCGAATTCCCCAATACCAGACCCTATAATGCATTTGCAGAGGATACCTTCTCAGATGATAAAGGGCATACGCATCACTGCCAATCTCGGAAATGGACACCACTAAAGTCCCAAGCTGATGCCATGATATATCCCACGAAACGAAGTGACTTGGAAAATACACGTCAGTTGAATGCTGAGAAGCATTTACATGCACGGCACCCAGATAGAGAGAGGAAGCCAGTTTCTGTGAGGACGAAAAGACAAGGGCATCGGCAGTGAAACATATATGGGAGTGTGGAAGAAATTTTTTCAATGAATTCCATTGAACCAATTTTACGTAGGCCTGCTGCTATTGAGTAAAGTACAAATTTCTGTACTCATTGACTAACCCCATACACTACTGGCTGTTATAGCTAATGGCCTTCGTGTTGTGAATGGGAGAATTTGAGGTCATGATTTTGATTTCTTCATGATTATTTATTCAAACAAGTAGTTTATCTTTTCTTTTGTTCGATTTCTGGTACACACTACTCTTGGGGAATGAAGTTTTATTCTTCTTTCAAATGCACTTATACGTTTTATGTCCATGACACACAAACAATGGTAAAAGCAAGATGAAGTTTCCATGATTTGATCTCAAACCTTATTATTATGCCAATGCATTAAACCTTCTCTTCTGTCAAAGCAGATGTGATATATGTGCTGGTGTGGAAAAAATTATCATTCTAATGCAGGCAAGTCACAAGCCTAACCAGAGCCGAACTCAAAACGTTAAGGAAGGTGGAGCGAAAAAAAAAAAATAATGCAAATGTCTTCTAATTCTTTAACATGACTGCAATTCGCAAAGCTCAAGTAAAGAGGATAGGGATATATTGGGTGATTCTTTTTCCACTTTATGTAAGTTTTGCAGTCGGGAAGATTTCGTAGGAAGGAAAAAGTAAGTTTAATCTCAACTCACACCCTAAAAGATTACTTGAATCTCAATTTACAATTTCAAAATTTAAAAATATAAATTTACACCATAAAAGACATAAATTTGTATCAATGTATATCTGAGATTAACTGTCATCTATTTTGCCGATAAAAAAGTTTAGACAAATTATAAATTGCACCCTTAAAGTTTAAATATTTCATATTTCTAATCCAAAAAGAATTTCTTCCGTTAATGTTAGTTAAATACCTCTTAATTGTATCGTATCATAATATTTTCGTGTCATGTTAGAGTTAATAAAAAAATATTTCTAAAATTTTATAAAAATTATAAAATACCTATTTTTTGTTTACAATACTTGTTAAATAACTATTTTATGTTTATAGTTGTATTATTCACATCTAACTTAGTTGATCAAAAAGTGAAAATATTGTTACTCATATCTAACTTTAAGTTGATCGAATAGTGAAAAAATATTAAATAGTATTATATAAATTGTCATAAATGTGAAATATACGACAAAACGCAATTAATTTGACGCGAAAATATTTAGTGTTAAAAATATTTTTTTATCAATTCGAACAAAACACAAAAATGATACGACATGACACAAAATAACATGATGCGATACAATTGAGAGATATTTAACGAGTATTAATAGATGAAATTATTTTTTTAATCATAAATGTGAAATATTTAAACTTTAAAGGTGCAATTTGTAATAATTCTAAACTTTTTTAACAGCAAAATGGATGGCAATTAACCACCTGTGTACATTGATACAAATTTATATATTTTAAGGTGTAAATTGATATTTTTAAACTTTGAGAATATAAATTGAGATTCGAGTGATCTTTTAGAGTGCAAGTTAAAATTAGTCCAAAAAGTAAGGAAACTAAAAATTTTTCTACCTATTAATGTGTATATGATTAGTTTTTTCCCACATCGGTTAGACTAGTACACTTTCTTATTCTCTTATAGTATAAATACACCAAAGCAATATACAATTGATATTTATTTTCTATTCATTTCTTCACATGGTAACAGAGTCTAGATTCGTGAATCATTCTAGCCAAGGATAATATGCTCTATGGTTGCCCTATAAGGAATCCTCTATATCAAAACTCTTGAGGCTCTTCGTTCTTCTTGTTGTCCTCCGACTACCTCTCCTGGCCATCCTTCGACAACCCTGCAGCCATCCTCTGGCAACATTTCGATCGTCTTCCATCCATCATTCAACGTCCTTCGATGACCTTCACGTCGTTCACTGATCGTCTAAATCCACTATGGCACTATTTGATATGACCCAATGTCACTACTCATATTGTCACAAGACTGTTCATGCTCTGTTTAACTATCCTATCCGAGTTTGCAGGTTCTGTCAAAAAAAAGAGCCCAAGCCATTATCTAAGTAACTATCGACAAAGTTTGTACCATAATGCACCTAAGAATGGCAAATCTAATACCAACCAGTAGTACATATCTGGCAATTAGTCCGCAACAAGTCTATGTCTGTTTCTCACACTGTTGCTTCTACTGTCAATGACTCTTTGTCCTCCAAAGTCTCTTTCTTTGACCTTTAGTTCCAGTGATCTTGTGGTGATCCTCAAACAGGTTCTTTTTGTATCAGTTAATCCGTCTTCTACTGCTTTATCTATCTTCAAGTAAATCATCTCGGTTTTTTGACTTTACATGTTGTAACCATATGACCCCTGATGAATCATTGTTTTCTTCCATACAATTTGTTGGATCTTTCCCATCCATTCACACTGCAGATGGCTCATATATGCATATCAATCATGTTGGACATATCTCTTCATTCCATGTGTCACTTCCCCATACTTATCACATACCTAATCTTACTCTCAATCTCATATCTGTGGGTCAATTTGTGACCTCGGACTCATTGTTTTGGTCTATTATATTGGTTGTATTGTCCAAGATCCCATATACAAGACAAACCTTTGGGATAGGTCGTAAGCATGGACATTTGTTGAGCTTATCTATCTTCGTCTTCCACAATGACTATTTTCCTCAGTCCTTTCTACTATTGTTGCTTCACTTCGACCAACTCTCCTTTCAATCTTTAGGCACTCCGCCTCAGTCATATTTCTTCAAGT